TCTCCCCTGGGTTAAGTGCTACCCTCCCAGCCTTGCAGGACTTGGAGGACATAGAGAGTAGAAGTGGTGCCCTCCCAGCTTTTAAGACATGGAAGACATGCTTCCTAGTCAAGCTTAGAATGGAGGATGTTTTGGAATTCCTCTTGGACAGAAAGTTGGAATGTAGGATGGGTCCTGGGAAGGGAAGTGGGGTGAAATGGTGGATTTCTCCAAAAACTGGTGAGGGATGTGCCAATCATCTGTCACAGTAATCCCTCCCCTTCAGTTTGATGCAATTCAGGTCTTTCATTCCCACTTGCTGAACACATAGAATCATAGAATCATAGAATCATAGAGTTGGAAGAGACCACAAGGGCCATCCAGTCCAACCCCCCCTGCCATGAAGGGACTCCCAATCAAAGCATCCCTGACAGATGGCCATCCTGCCTCTGCTTAAAGACCTCCAAGGAAGGAGACTCCACTACTCTCCAAGGGAGTGTGTTCCACTGTCGAACTGCCTTACTGTCAGGAAGTTCCTCCTAATGTTGAGGTGGAATCTCTTTTCTTGCAGCTTGCATCCATTGTTTCTGGTCCTAGTCTCTGGAGCAGCAGAAAACAAGCTTGTTCCCTCCTCGATATGACATCCCTTCAAATATTTAAACACAGCTATCATATCACCTCTCAGCCTTCTCTTCTCCAGGCTAAACATCCCCAGCTCACTAAGTCGTTCCTCATAGGGCTTGGTTTCCAGACCCTATGTTTCCAGTTCCTGCATGGCAGGGGGTTGGACTGGATGGCCCTTGTGGTCTCTTCCAACTCTATGATTCTATGATTCTATGAATCACCAAAACTTGTGTCAGGAAAGAGTTCTTTTGCATTTGCCTTGCTTCAAGTAGGAATGACAGACATATAACCCAATCAGCAATTTGTTCTAAATCATAGTGAGAACGAGGCCCTAGAGGAGGATAGTAAAGATGGTAAAGGATCTGGAAACTCACTCCTTTGAGGAATATTTGAGGGAGGTAGATGCATTTAGCCTGGAGAAGAAAGAATGGAAAGGTGATGTGCTAGCCATCTTCAAATATCTGAAAGGCTGTCACAAGAAAGAGCAAGCTTTTTTTTTCCTGCTGGTCCAGAGAACAAGATCTGCAAGAATGGACTCAGCTTATAAGAAAGGAGCTTCCAACCAAACTTAAGGAAGAATGCCCTGGTGTGTATGTGTTCGCGTGTGCATGTGTGTGTTTTAAATGAATGCTCAAATTCCAATTTGAGCTTTCATTTAAAACAGTTAAAAACAAATGTATTACAATACAAGCATTGCACATCCTTCTACCTCAATTAAGGCTGAAGACCTGTTTAAATAAGAAGGTATTTGACTGTTGGCAAAAGGTGTGTGTGGAACAAAACCTAAAGTATCACCAAAGGACACTTTCGGCCATTACACTTATCCCTCCTCATTTATGGCTTTGACTTTTGCAGATTTGATTATTCACAGATTTTATCACTATGTTCTTTCTAGGAATCTCTAGGGATGTTATCACACAGGGAGCTCTGAACAGAAGCCGGCTTTAAAGTTAAAGTGCTACCACAAAAGCGGAAGCAATTAATTAGCCGGCTTTCCTCATGTGAAAACCTCCTGAGCATTCAAAAGGAGGTTACTCCGAACAGAAAGTAGGCAGAAACTGCTTCTTTTTATTTTCGGAAGATCCCCAAAAATAAAAAGAAGCAGTTTCTGACTACTTTCTGTTTGGATTAATCTGCTTTTAAATGTGACGTTGTCTGAAAATATACCCGCTTTTGCGGGTATATTTTCAGTTCAAACCCCTGTTTCCTCACAGGATTTCCCCGGTGTGATAATGTCCTAGGTCCTCCAGTCCAACTTTATGGTGAACTTTAACCAAAAGTTCCACTGAAGGGCCTAGAAATTCCTAGAGAGAACACTCCACTAGGCATTTGTGGCTCCTCCAGCACAATTAATATGGCCAATGTTAGGCAGATGCTGACCATAGAGTTGCATTGGAGGACCTAAAGATTCCTAGAGAGGTCTTCTTTCAGGTAAAAACATTGTGTTTTTGTAATTTGCAGTTTTTCCACATTTACAGGTGTCTTGTGCCCCTAACCCCAACCAATATGGAGAGGTCAGTGTAATTGTAATTTTGATAGTCATCTCTCATGTCTCTTCTAACAAATAAAATGGACAAGAGTAAGAATGAAACTCATTCAGTCAGTATAAATGGCACCCTTATAAAGAAAATGGAGCTTTCCCCCAAACATCCCTCCATCTCTCTCTCTCTCTCTCTCTTGAGAACAATTTAGTGTGTCCAATAAAAGCCCAGCTAATTTCTAAATCAGCATGTAGCCAAGTCAGCCACCCAGTTGCTCAAACCTTGGGCAATAATACTAGTGCACAAACAATCTATACTAAAGCAATCAGTTTCCCTCTAGCCTGCCAAGGGGATGCGTTAACTGAACCCAAAATATGACAGGAGGAAATTTATGTGCAACTTTTACACATAATATCTCATTATGACTCTCCCCAATCTTTCAATTTTAAAAATAAACGGTCTTTGTAATGATTTTACCAGGAGTGTGTTGGAAACAAGATTGAAAACAAAAGAGAGAAACAGACTTTGGCTCTTGTTATTTCTTTCTTCATCTCACTCACCTTCCCATGCTTCTCCTCTCAGCTTTTGCTTTAATTTTCTTGAAGATGCTTCCACCCAATTTAAAAAGAAATGGAATTTTTCCTCTCCTCATTTCTTTCACTTCTCTTTCTTTCTGTTTTGGTCAGGAGTTTCATCTGACAGAGTGGCTGACTTAATGAAAACCCTGTCAATAGTGAAATCATTTTGACTCATCGGTAAATAATGAAAGTTTCCAGTTAAAATGCAGTTTGGTTCACCCAGGAGACCAACATTTGGTTACATTCCAGGCCAACAAATTGTCATCTGTCCCACTTCACAAGAAAAAAAGGGGAGAGGAGTGATCGGAGTGTATTGCCTTCTAGTAATAAGAACAATAAGGAGTGGGAGGAGAGTTATTGCATTGGAAAGCAGAAGATGAACTTTTTGTACTCTAGGAAGGGGTGGAAAGATGGCAAGCCAAGGGCTAGGTTTAGATCCTGAAATAGTTTGATCTAGCCCTTGGTGACCCCACCAAATGTTAATAATGTCATGTTAAAACATTTAAACATAGCTTCACTGAAAAGGAAAATGGTTTCTAAGGAATAACTCATTCCAAATTTCAGTGTTACAATTATCTTTATGGATGTTTATGTAATACTGTGGTTGAATATAAAACCATATGCTCCATGGCTGTAACTCTTAGATGTTCTGATTATGCAACAAATCTTATGCAATTACAAATAAAGAAATCAAATACTGTGTCAAAACATGTTTTTGCCCTACAGACCATTGTAAGAATACATGGATCCCAGTACAGAATATGGATATTCCTGGTCCAAAAGACAGAGGAAAAGTACCATAACCCACTAACAGAAAACCCAGTGTGCTTGCAACAGGTCTCTTGTTCAATCCATGATGCTTCCAGGCACTGTTGAGAAAGATCCTGGATGAGCCTTTGGAAGTTCTCAATCAATTAGTCTAGTTGTAGACAACAGATTGGACCCTCCTGTTTGGCTAAAAATCCCACAATGTCCTCCACAACTCAAATTGATTAGGGTTGCTGGGAATTGTAGTCCTAAAGAACTAGAGGGCTGTTTCACTATAGTGCAGATATTGCTGTTTCACTATAGTGCAGATATTGAATATCTCTTTGTGTAAAGTCCTCCCCAAAGTACTTACACTGACACAATAGCCCATTTACATCAATGTAAACTGCTAAAAGGATTCTTTCCCTCCTTTTTGTGGAGGTTCCCTACACAGTTGGGAATTGTGACTTCTCTTTGGACTGTTAAGTTCAGCTTGTGTAAAATGACAGTGAAAGGGAAAAGTTAGCATTCTCCTCTTGCATGTTGATTTAAACCGAATAACAGCACACCTGAATTAGGCTAGTGGCTGTGATGAAGCACATATCTAAATATAGAAGGCAAATTCACAACAAAATTGCAGGCCATGTCCAGAATACATAGTATAATTGTACATTCCCACTTGTTAAATCTCTCATACAAAATCCCTATAAAAATCATGGAACTTGATTCAGAAAAGGTGGTGGAAGAATTGTATCTACCTATGACAAAGGCTACAGTTGGAAGAAACCACAAGGGTCATCCAATCTAACCCCCTGCTATGCAGGAATAAACAACCAAATCACTCCCGACTGATGGCCATCCAGCTTCTGTTTAAAAATTTCCAAAGAATGAGACCCCACCACATTTCAAGGCAGCATATTCCACTATTTAACATCTCTTAAATCTAAGATTTGGGGACATAACCATAATCACCTTGGTGAGAAATCCTATTCTCGGTTTCTATACCTCAGTTTTCTTATAGCAATCTAGCAATGACTTGTATATATGCATTGGAGCACTAGCAATTTCTTAGACTTGAGGAAACTTTCTACACTGCATGGAACTAACAGAAACTTTAGTTAAAGCATGATTACAACTGATTGCTAATATGTGAATGTTTCCAAGTGTTATCTTTATTTATAGGACTTGAAGTGGATCTCTGTGTATTAAGACACAGTGATCCTTCTTGCTTTGTGTGCCTTCAAGTCAATTCCAACTTAGGGCAACCTCAAGGTGACGCTGAGCCAGTATGGCATAGTGATTTGAGCATTGGACTATGCTTTGGAGACCAAGGTTCAATTTCCTGCTCTGCCATGGAAACTCACTGGGTGACCTTGGGCAATTCACACACTCTCAGCAATAGAAAATCCGGTGCTAGGTTTGATTTAGGGTCTCCATAACATGGAAACAACTTGAAGGCACACAACAACAACAAAGGAGAAGCAAATAAAGTGTATGCTTTTTTGCAAGATTTGTTCAAAGTGGGTTTGCCTTTGCCTTCCTCTGAGTCTGAGAGTGTATGACTTGTCTAAGGTCATCTAGTGGGTTTCCATGACCAAGTGGGGATTCGAACCCTAATCTCCAGAGTGCTAGTCCAACACTCAAACCACTACGCCACATTGATTCTTCATAGTGACCCTAGCACTGTGTAAATTTCCTGAGTTTGAGTTTTTTCTTTCTTTCTAGATTATAACTCCTGAGACAGGTTGGACAGGGGGACTATAGAAATTGCAGTCTCCAAAAGTAATTTTTCCTACCTATACAAACTGCATACCATATTTGTTTCCTGAAGAATGAAGGTATATCATCAATGTATCTTTCAGAGCATTCACTTCAATTATTAGGGAAAAGGTGTTGTTTTCTGCTTTCTTTTTAAAAAGGGGGCCACACAGTTGTATCAGTATGTTTGTTGTTGTTGTTAATTGCCTTCAAACTGACTTTGACCCATTGCAACCCTATGTATATGAGAGACCTTCAAGTCATCCTATCCTCAGCTGCCCTTCCAAGCTGCTTCAGGCTGTGGTTTCTCTTACTGAGTTTCCATCTGGAATGTGGTCTTCCTCTTTTTCTATTGCCATCCACTTTACCAAGTATTATAGTCTTTTCTAGTGAGTCCTTTCTTCTCATGATATTGCCAAAATATGACAACTTCAGTTTAATCTTCTTTGTTTCCAGGGAGAGTTGAGGCCTGATCTGCTCTAGGGTCTATCCATTGGCCTTTTTTGCAATCTACGGTATTTTCACAACTCATCTCCAGGACCACATTTCAAATGAGTTCCTTCCTTTCCTGTCAGCTTTCTCACTGTCCAGCTTTCACAACCATATATTGAAATGGGAAATACGATGACATGGACAATCCTAACTTTGGTATATAATGATATATCTTTAGACTTCAAGATCTTATCTAGTTCCTTCAAAACTGCCCTTCCATGTCCTAGGGCTTTTACAGATTGCCAGAAATAATGCAGCTTGAGGGCACTTTAACTGTCCTAGCTCAGTGCTAGGGAATCATGGGAATTGGATTTTTTTTTTCTGGGACATTGAGCCTTCTCTGTCAGAGAGCTCTGGTGCCACAATAAACTACAGTTCCCACAATAAACTATGGTTCCCAAGATTCCTTAGCACTGAGCCAGGACAGTTAAAGTGGCCTCAAGCTGCATTATTTCTGGCAGTCTGTAAAGGCCCCTAGTCTTCTTTCGATGTCTTGACTGCAGTCTCCACTCTGATTGATGATTGAGCATAATAAGTATGGGAAATCTTGTACTATTTTGATCTCTTCACCGTCTGCTTTAACATTATGTACAGTATGTATAGTTAAATTAAGGATGAGAAAATGATCTTTCCTGTAATAAAATAAGACAATAACATTTTTAAACTTTAATAGAAATGAGCACCACCAAAAAACCTTATTTTTAGCACTGTTAGTTTGGAGTATGAACTTAGGTTGTATGCTTCATGTATAACTGTGAGACAATTAAATCTTCAAGGGATCAAATTTTACATGCATTTAGTTCTCACGGACCATGTAAATTTGAACAGGCCAGCACCTTTCCCTTCATTTCAACAAAGTCTTTTTGTGCCAAACATTGAGTTTTTTAAATACAAAAATGTTTTTTTTAAAAAATATTTTGAGCAAAAATCCTTGCACAAATCTTTTTTAAAAAAAGTCTCCCAATGTTAAAAAAGATGATCAAACAGTGTGTAAAAACTCTTATAATCTTTCTAAACAATAAGAATATATATTTTTTATTTTGTTCTGACTCACAAAATGAAAATATGTGAACATTTTCTGCATCACCCCCATGACAGAGATGTTGGGGAGTGATGCATAGTTTGCTGGCCTCCCTGGAACAAGGAGACAAGTTTAAATTGAGCCATGGCGGTTATGCCATGGCAAGAGGAGGCTTGGAAGTATGGCCAGAGGCAATTTGAGCTCTGCCACTCCCCAGATCTTTATTCTGGCTCAGGCGATTGACCCACCCTCCAGCCACTGGCATAGTATGAATTTTCTTGGTTGCTTTTGGGATGGATAGGACTTTTTTTTCCTTTTTCCATGGGCTTTTTCACCTACCCCATACTGTTCCCAGTCAGACTTGGACAATTGGCTAGACTTGGACAAGTGTCTAAATAGGCTGTCATTAGCAGAAATGGGGAGAGATTTAGAGTTTGGTGAGCACCTAGGTCACCATTTTGGTGGAAGGGAGGTCGCTCAAACTACCTCTTTAGGTCTTAGGACTAGGGAGGTGGAGAAAGAAATAACTCTTGAGGTTGGCCTGAAGGAAAAACCCTTTCTTTAATCTTTGGAGATTGGGAAAGGTACTTTCTGGTTGGTCTTCCAGATGCAGGCTGGCCAGAGAACAACCTAGCTTTTGGGTTCTTTTTGGGGCTCAGGTGTAATCACCCAGGGGAAGCTGTAGAGGTAGTCTGGGGGAAAGGCCACTGGCTGCAGCTGCTCACACATTAGGCTCCTCCTCCCTTAGTTGCAGTTCTCTGAAAAAATCAATAAAAAGGTCAAGTTAGTAAAATGGCCCAATTTCAACCCATGTTTTGGTGTCTGTCTCATTAGTGTGTCTTGTCTCATTGTTTCTGGGATTGGTCAGCAATCATTCCTAGCCTCCATTATATGTGGAGACTTATTCTGTCCAAAATTCATATATGGTTGATTTCAATATAAAGCAGCATTTTCTGCACCAGAACCAGCTTTTTCTGAATAAAAAATAGTATTTCTGTGTAGAAATATTATTTTTTACATAGAAAATGTTGTTTTTTATACAAAAATACTGTTTCCTGTTCAAAACAACAATGAACAATTTTTGCATGGAATAAGGCTCCTTCTTTAGATGTTTTTAAACAGAGGCTGGATGACCATCTGCTGGGAGTACTTTCATTGTTTATTCCTGCATGACAGAGGGTTGGACTGGATTGTCCTTCTGGTCTCTTCCAACTCTATGATTCTATTATTCTAAATAATAAATTGCAAATTGGCTTTGAAAACTATCTGGTTTTTAAAGCCTTTCTAGCAGTAGGAAAAATGCTAAAATTACTCACTCCTTCTTTCAAGAAGAAAGTAAGTGAAGAATTGCATCCCTACTCAGCCTGTGCCACAACATCCCAGATGTAATATTCTAAAGACTTGAACTATAGTTATGACTTCTGTCCTCTAAGAAGCTATGGCTGTGTATTGATATCACAAGCAGAAGTGATGTATAGACAGGAGCTGCTGATGGCTCCAACCATCAATAATTCCTATCTGTATGTTGGAAAGATTTTCAATGTATACAGGGAGAAATAATTTCCATGTAGATTGCCTTCTCTTGCCCCTTGTTCTCAAAAGAAATATTCAGGGGACCACCAGGAAGGAACTGGTGGGCAGACAACTTTGGGTTCTCAGACCACACTCTGAGAAAAGTTACCTGATTTGAACATCTACAGGAAGCATTTTGTGGTAGAACTTTTTTTTCTCATGAAAATATATTTTCTTCCCTTGAGAATGTAGCAGTAGTGGTAATGTGGGAAGTTGCTCTCAAAAAGTGGGAAACATGACATCTGCCAATATATACTGACTGAACTTTCCATTGTGGTCACCTTAGAGAAACAATTGAGGCAAAACTATTAATGCATGTTTCCTTTTCCCCTTCTGCCCTGGAAGCTTGAGGAATTTACAAGATTTATTAAAAACAAATTGATCAATAGGTAAATCTTAATGAAAATGGATCTATAGCTACATTTTCAAAAAAATTGTAATGTCAAAACAATGTTATATATTTTCCACAAACTCTAGCTTTTCCATAAGCTGACTTAGGGGGGTTGCAGACTGCCAGAAATAGTGCAAAT